GGGGGGGGGGGGGGTGCATGCAGGAAGCAGAGGGTGTGGTTATAAAAGGGCAACATGAGGGATTCTTGTGGTTTGGGAACTGTTCAATATCTTGACTGTGGTGGTAGAAACAGAGACTTACACAATTTTCTATAAAATTGTACACACATGAGTAAAAGTCAAACTGGAAATATGAGTAAGATGAGTGGGCTGTATCAATGTTAGTATCTTGGTTGTGGTATTATACTTCAATTTTGCAAAATGTTTTCATTGGGAGACATTGGCAAAGTGTACAAAGGCCCTCTCTGTATTATTTTTTATGATTTCATGAATCCACACTTATCTCAATGAAAATTTTCATTAAAAAATATCACGGAGGGCCGGCCCGGTGGCGCACTGGAGAGTGCGCCGCTTGGGAGTGCGGCGGTGCTCCTGCCGAGGGTTCGGATCCCATGTGGAGACCGGTTCCCGCTCACTGGCTGAGCGTGGTGTGGGCGCAACAACGAGGGTTGCGATCCCATTGCCGGTCCCCGGTACGGGCGCGACACCGAGGGTTGCAATCCCGTTACCGGTCAGTAAAAAAGACAAAAAGGAAAAAAAACATATATCATGGAGGAGGAAAAAAAGGCAGGGAGACCATTTTAAATGAAGAGGTGAGAGATAACAAACAAATGAAATGTGTGAACCTTGACTAGATCTTGAGGGAAAACTGGGAAAATTTGAGAATGGACTGTATATTAGACATTATGGAATGATTGTTTTCCAACTGTTTTAATAATATTGTGCTTACATAGACAAACATCTTATTTTGAAAAGATGCATGCTGAAATATTCAGTTGAAGTGCCATGATGTCAGCAACTTACTTTCAAAAGGTTTCTAAAGGGCCAGCCCGGTGGTGCACTGGAGAGTGCGCCGCTTGGGAGCGCGGCGGCGCTCCCGCCGAGGGTTCGGATCCCATGTGGAGACCGGTTCCCGCTCACTGGCTGAGCGCAGCGCGGCGCGACACCGAGGGTTGCGATCCCGTTGCCGGTCCCCGGTGCAGACGCGACACCGAGCGTTGCGATCCCGTTACCGGTCAGTAAAAAAGACAAAAAGGAAAAAAAAAGGTTTCTAAAGGGCCAGCCCGGCGGTGCACTGGAGAGTGCGCCGCTGGGGAGCGCGGCGGCGCTCCCGCCGAGGGTTCGGATCCCATGTGGAGACCGGTTCCCGCTCACTGGCTGAGCGCAGCGCGGCGCGACACCGAGGGTTGCGATCCCGTTGCCGGTCCCCGGTGCAGACGCGACACCGAGCGTTGCGATCCCGTTACCGGTCAGTAAAAAAGACAAAAAGGAAAAAAAAAAGGTTTCTAAAGAAAAAGGGGGGAAGCAAATGAGGCAGAATTTTAACAATTATTAAATCTAGGTAGTTGTTATTGTTGCTATTATACTGTTCTTTTGATTTTTTAAAATAATTTCCAAATAAAAAGCCCTCAGGGCTTACTCACCTGTATGGCCTTTTTCTTGTCCCCCATCTCCACCAGCAGGAGTCCCATAAAGCACCTGCTCACGCCCAACCTTACCCACAATTCTTTCCTAGATTCTTTTACTTCTGTGTTTATCTGTGTCTCTCCGACAACATTATGAGCTTCTAGAAGACAAGGTACCAAGTTTTTTTCATTTTCTTTTCTTTTTTTCCTCATAAATCTAGCAATTTGACCAAGATCAAGTCCACTATCGCAATCCAAGCTTTGTTTCATCATAGACTACAGATGGTTTACGTAGGCCAGAAGTCCCAAATGCTGGTACTCTATTGGCCAAATAGGGTACTTTTCTTAAAAATATAGTTTCCTGGGTGCCACCTCAGACCTATTGAATCTGGACCTCTAAGAATGAGACCTCGCAGTCTATGTATGTTTTGTTCTGTTGGGGAGGAGGGAAGAGAGGTGAGTATTACTGAATATTTTGCACATACACACACACAAACAAAAACCAAGAAAACCCCCCTGGAGATCTTGCCTATTGACACCTCAGAAACTCTGCTATCATGCTACCCACACTTGATGTGGGGAGAAAAGAGAGCAAAATGATGACTTTGAACCAATCTTGTGATGAACAAGGCTAGGGTTTCCAATGGTGTTCCAGTTGATCAAGCTTGGCTTCTCGTGTAGCAACTTTAATTAGGCAGTGAGAACATCACGGCAACGGAGTTAAATATCAAGGCCCTATGAGTCTTGGTCTGATGCCTTGAGCTGCCCTTATTTAGTTTAGGAGGAAAGGTCTACTCAACTGGCTAGTGCTTGAAAATTTCAGGGGCTTTCCTTTCCATAGTGTATTTGGCTAGGACTTCTTTCTAGAAAACTGAGCTGTTTGTACATGGCCAAGGGCTCAGATCAGCAAGGTGCCCCTGTGATATCTGTCCAGTGCAGAGCCTCACCAACAGGTTGGCAATGAAAGTATCTTAAGTCAGTGAGTAATGAGAAACCATGATGCCCTACCAATTGGACTCGACCAGCTTACATGCCAGTCTGGTCCACTACAAGCTGGAGAAAGTTGCATGAATTTTCATCCACATCCTTAGCAATTTACCTCGAGTTAAGTCGTTGTGAGACCATTCCCCGCCTTCTGGAGACATACATTAGCAGTTAACTTCTTTCGTTTCCCAGTGTACACGGTCAAAGGAATCTTAGATATTACTAGGTTTTCCCTAATGAAGGACTTCTACAGATCAACCAGCTACTTGGGGATTATGTACCTGCTAGGATCATCAGGAAATTTGAAGTCCAGACCTAAAAGAATTCAAAGGCAACTATGCTCATGCCAGTTCTAATATTATCAATGTAGCCAGCTTTCCCAATTGCATTCTGTAGCAGCTCCAGGCTTGTTTATTCTCTAAGATATTAGGAGCAAAACTCTCTCCAGCCCTGTATTAGCTCTCTATTACTGCCATAACTAATGACCACAAATTTAGCAGCTTAGACCACACACATTTCCTATCTTATAGTTCTGAATGCAAAAGTGTGATTTGAGTATCACCAGGTCAATATCAAGGTATCCACAAGGCTGTATTCCTTTCTGGAGGCTCTAGGGAAGGATCTGTTTCCTGCTCATTTGGGATGTAATAGAATCCAGTTCCTTACAATTGTGAAACTGAGATCCTTGTTTCCTTGCTGGCAGTCAGCCAAAGGTTGCTCTCAACTTCCAGAGTCACCCACATTCCTTGGCTCATGGCCCACTTCTCCATTTTTAAAGCCAACAACATCATACCTCTCTGGCATATCTCTTTGACCACAGACATGACAGGTTCTCTGCTTTTAAGTATTCATGAGATTACACTGGGCCCACCTAGATAATACAGGATTATCTCCCCATTTCAAGGTTCATAAGCTTAATCACATCTGCAAAATCCCTTTTCCCATGTAAAGTAATAAATTCACAGTTTCCAGGGACATTACGTAGACATCTTTGAGAGACATTATTCGGCCTACCACACAGCCCCCATATCGGTAGCAGCTATCTCCTGTTTCTCCTTGATGACACTGTTCAGGTGTAATAAGCCTCAGTTCTAATGAGCATGGCTTCCCTGAAGTTTGCTGACAGGGAGGATCATGAACTCCTACACTGCCAGCTTGTGGCCAGCATGAGAACCATCGCTGATCACCGTGAAAGCTGGAACTGACAGGATGAATTTCAGAATTGCCAGCGGATTCACAATTCTGTGACAGCAGGGGGAACCCTTTTTCAGCAGCTCTAGCCATACAGACAGCAACATATTCCCAGCACAGTCCTTGCACCAAATTTAGACCTTTCTCAGAGCCATCCATCTCTATCATCAATTGGCCAGTCTTCTTTTGTTCCACAACATTTAGTTGCTTGCTAATAAGGGCAGTCCCAATAATTTTATTGATGTGCTCAACAGCCTTTGAGATACTTTTTCTCATAGGAAATATTATCATTGTCTTGAGCTCTAGGGTCTCACAGATACCAGTTGAGGCACCACTGGATACAGCTCTGAAGAGACGTTCTCCCCAACAGCAAGATTTCCTGGACAGCCAAAGATCTGACAAAGAGCTTGAGAATAGGGATGGTGAATTTCTACTCATAATTCAGAGGAAAGGGTACTACAGAGATTAAATGGGAATGTTAGCCCAACAAACTCACAGACCTCTCATTTGTTCCTCTGAGCTCTTGGTCTCCTCAGCTTCTCTTTTGCTCCATATGTTTTTCAAAGCTCTGTAAATGATTCTAATGTGCAACCAGATATGGAAACCACTGGTACAGATTTTAAAAGGAAATAAAGTTTTTAGGTTATAAAACTTTTCAAACAAAAAACTACATATCCTTTTTATTAGCCATGAAGTAAAGCATCTTTCAACCTAATTACATTACAATTATTCTGTGATACACAATCACTAAGCCAGTTTCAGAAAAGACAAATTTCATATTTCCATTTATTCAGAAAGTAGACCTCAAAAATAAATAATAAAGGCCTTTTCTCCCTTCTACTTATTCCCTAAATTTATGTTTAAACCTGATATATATATATACATATATATATATATATATATATTTTTTGTCTTTTGTCTTTTTCCGTGTCTGGCAACGGATCGCAACCCTCAGTGTTGCCCCCGTACCGGACCGGGGACCGGCAACGGGATCGCAACCCTCGGGGTCGCTCCCGCGCCTCGCTCAGCCAGTGAGCAGGAACCGGTCTGTATGTGGGATCCGAACCCTCGGGCGGGAGCGCCGCCGCGCTTCCCAAGCGGCGCACTCATCCAGTGCGCCACCGGGCCGGCCCCAAACCTGATATATATTTTATAACACTAAAGTTATGGCTTTTTCTGAATTAGTGCTTCTTAAGATAATGATTATAAATAGAACTAATTTGAGAGAAAAGAAAATACACACTCTCACCTCCTAGTTTCTAGCTCATTATCTCCTGTTACTAAGACGATAATGTTGTAAAAATTAATGTTTGAGTATAAATAGCAGATACAATGTTAACATTTTCCATAATATTGAGAAACTTTTCAGTATTATATAATCAAAAATCAGTTACAAATTATTTACATACACAAGTCTTATAAAAATACATTTAAAAACAAAAATGGGAAAAATACTGGGTCATTATTCCTTTAAAGATGATTTGGCATTATGAGGAGACTTTGATTCCTTGATCTTTATCAGGATATTCTTCCACATCAGAGTAGAACATCAGCTCTGGAGAAGAAATAAACAGATAATATAAAATGGTTTCCTAGTACCTCAAAAAAGAGTTTTATAGCTTTGCTTTTTGAAATATACAAAATATACAAATAGAAAGCCAAAATACACAAATATACAAAATTTTAAAAATATACAAAAATTTTTTTGACAAAATATACAAATAGAAAGCCTTCAAGTACAAGCAGGGATTCTTGACAGTGAAATCTGATTTAAAAGGTAAGCTAGTAACAAATGTACAATTTTTACATTTTAAAATGTTCAAGTCTTAAATTTATTATAAGCCCCTGAAAAACAAAACATATGTAATGGAGACCAGGAAATTTAAGTCACTTGGAGAATCCAGGATCATTAAACAGCTAAGAAGTCTAATTCTACAGTGATCATATAATCCAAAGTGTAGGGGTCAGACAGAGAGGAACTAACATTAGGTGTGTGTCAGGGTATCTTAAATGTGTTATCCCATTTAATCACCAAAACAACCCAACAAGCTAGGTATTATCATCCTCATTTTATATTTACTTTTTTATCCACATGGAAATAAAATGTTATACAGCCACATGGCCCCCTAAAAGTGAGCAGAATTCTGGAAATATTTACCAAGTAACACATACTTTATGATTTAGACTGAAGACTACACAAGCCAGCTGGATGCAGAATGAATCCCAACCACAGTGTAGAATGTTATTAGTTAACATTTCTACATTCAGCTATTACTTAGAACACAATTTATTGTAGTTTGTTAATAAAGTAAAAAATATAGAAAAGAAAACCTTAAAAATCTAGTAAAATAAAGTCCTCTGATATAACTATTAGATGAAAAATTCTTTGAATAAACAAAAACTATACTGAGTGACAGAAAAACAGCAAAATACCTAAAGTCTAATAAGATGTTTTAAAATACTTTTAAATACATCAAAAGGAATAAAGCAACAGAATATTCAGTGGACCAACACGACAATCACAATGCGATAAAAGTACATTCATGAATGAAAATATGCAGGAGATTACATTTTTTATCTTGGTTTTTATAAATGGAAAATGTTAGGGAGATTTGCCATTCTAAGACTTCTGAGACAGGTTGTAATTAGTTGATCAAATTAAAAATAAAATACATAGAGGATATTGACTAAGGATGAGATAGAAATAAAACACATGTATTTTGCAGGACCAAATCCTGTAGTTTAGAAGACCAAAGTCCTTAGTTTAGGCCAAAGCCTGTAGCTTAGAAGGCCAAAGCCTGTAGTTTAGAGGATCAAAGTCCTGTAGTTTAGGAGGCCAAAGCCTCTAGTTTAGGGGGTCAAACCACAACCCTTTAGGAAAACATGTAGAAATGCTAGGATTGAAAAAGACCAGAAAACTTTCACAGGACTAAACCCTTTGATATAGATAAGAGAATTGAAGCATGATGAAAAGTGATTGCTCTGGGGGCAATTGCCCTTGATTCAGCTAAACCTAAAAGATGGGAAAGCATGTAAGCTAAAATCTTCAAGGATATTCTGCTAGATTAGTTAGCACCTGGGGGATGTTCCACATCTTGCCCTAAGCTGTTTCTTTGAGTTTCTTGGGGAGTTAAGTGCTCTGGTGATTATCTTATTGTTTCCTTTTGTATGTCACATAGCTTAGTTTTATGACCCCTTTTGATGGAAAATTGCTTGAACTATTTTAAACTACACTGCTTAATGAAGATTGTCATGTACTCAGTTTGTTTATGTTTTCACTATGATTGATTAACCATCTGATTTCCTTCTGTAACTTTCTTGTCCTTACAATAAAAACTGAAGCCAAGAGAGAGGCACCCCACTAGAGAGGCCCGAGATCTGTGGAGACCACGCACCCAGCGGTGCAAGCATGCAACCGAACAGGTAGGCCTTGCCACCACCAGACCCCATCCCCAGCCCAGCTGAGTGTATGCCAACCAGAGAGGCACCCCGCCGGAGAGGCCCGAGATCCGCATAGACCACATGTCCCACGGAGACCACACGTCCTGCAGTGCCAGCGCATGACCGAGTAGGTAGGCCTCACTGCCGCCGGACCCCATCCCCAGCCCGGCCAAGTGCACACTGACCAGAGGCGCCCCACCAGAGAGGCCCATGTCCCGTGGAGACCACACACCCTGTGGTGCCAGCATGCAACCTAGCAGGAAGGCCTCACCACTACCAAACCTCATCCCCAGCCCAGCTGAGTGCGTGCTGACCAGAGAGGTACCTCCCCAGAGAGGCCCCTCCCTGGAGAGGCCCAAGACCTGAGGTGACCACGTGCCCAAGGTGCCAGCAAGGCAAATAAGCAGACACTGAGGCAGCTGTGCCAAATTGGCAGCCCCAGCAGGATCCTAGCCAGACAACAGTGTCAAAATAGTGGACCATGAAATCCCTTGCCACAATGCCTAAACATCAAAGGAAATAAACCAGAAATATGAAAACTCAAGAAAGTACACCACCAAAGGGTAATAACTCTCAAGCTCTAGATCCTATAGAACAAGAAGCCCTTAAAATGTCTGACAAGGAATTTCGAGTGATAATTCTAAGGAAACTAAATGAGATACAAGAAAACTCAGCTAGGTAACACAATGAAACAAGGAAAAGTATACAGAACCTGAAAGAAGAAATGTACAAGAAAATCAATGCCCTGAAAAAGAATGTAGCAGAGCTTGCCGAGCTAAACAATTCATTCAAAGAAATAAAAAACACAACAGAGAGTTTAACAAGCAGGCTTGCAGAAGCAGAAGAGAGAACTTCTTACTTTGAAGATGGGCTGGTTGAAATAACACAGGCAGACAATAAAAAAAAAAAAGAAAAAAGAATTAAAAACATTGAAGAAAATCTAAGAGAGATATCAGACTGCCGGAGACCAGCTCCAGTTGAATTGTGGGTCCTTGAAAGAGGGATGAGGAAGCCGGCGAAAATAACAAACACAGATGGAGACCTCAATGCATCAGTATGCATGTTCTCTCTCTGCGGGCTGTCAGCGTGTTGCAGCTGGAGCCCAGTAGAGCATGAGACAATGCCTTTTATTTAGATTTTTCTCTGCAGGGGGGTTTTGGGTATTATTTTTATTCTATCAGCAAGCTTAAATCAATAGTCCAAAAAGCAGGGAGGAAACTTTTTTAGAGGTCAGCACATCTTAGGTGATTAACTCGTGCTTCTTTTTCCTGGAATCAGGTTTATCAGATTCAAACCATCCCTTCATTGTCTTGAAGTTCTCTTGTGACCTTTTTCTGTTAGCAAGCTGTGGTTAATATCCACCCTGTTAACAGGGTGGGAGCCAAATGTAAAAAGGACAGTGGATATTTGAGCAGCACTATCATGCACATTTTAAGGTTATGCATTGGCTATGGCCCTGTAATCTTGATCTAAATGTCAAAGTGTCATTGTGCACAGCACCATCTCATACAAAACCAGTTACACTTTCTTATTTTTCTAAGATCTAATTTCGTAGGTTTAATAATTTTACAGCATATATTTTTATCCCAA